CATTTAAAAAAGTATTTCTCTTTTAAGCTGCTGGCATTGGGGTTGACACAATGCTGCAAAGCTGGCATGTCATTTCCAAATCTAACAGCGTATGTTACCTGACAGTCTAAATGACAGTGCAGAACACAAGGTACATCCATGTTTCTGGAAACTGCGTTAGGCTATACTGTGCAGGTTAATAAGAACAGCAACTCTGTTTTGAAAATCTTGTGTATCTATATACACACATGGTACATATGGTATATACATGTATCTCTAAAGTTAAAATGAGGACTTCAATGAGCAAGTAGCTGCTGAATAGATTTTTCTCTTAGCTGGAGTTTTTATATTTTTGTATGTTAGAAATTACTCTTTTGTGCCTTCTTTTGGCCAAAGCAGACAACCTGGAAAGGTTGTTTTTGGCTAGGCTTCAGATTAGCAAGTCTAAAGCTTGAAAGCCTTGCACTGGAGAACTGATGACACAACATGGGATAAAAGAGGGGAGAAGAAACAAATTTGAATCAGATTGTATAAAATTTTGTTGCATTTTATAGCAAGTTACAAAACTCTAATCACTAAATAAAATTTAGAATGATAAGATAGTTGCTCAAGGTTCACCACACTTACTGCTGGCATTAGGTTTCCGGGGTTCTTAATTAATATCCCTGAGCTCTACCTTTCTTTCTCATGCAAAACTAAAACTAAACATTTCTGATCTGGCAAACCAAGCAAATAAATCAACATTTTTATTAATCAAAAACATTTAATGACTTCACAAATGAAAAAAAAAACCCAAAATGGTCAGTTCCTACTTAAAACAAGAAAACTTTACATATCATGATTTTGTTCATTAGTTACTTCTTTCTAGGAATGGATTATTATTAGTGCTTATTTCATGCGTCGAGTGAATTCCTATGTAACTACTAACTACTGAATTGTAGCATCAGATGAAATCCATAGAAACAAATGTTACTAGGATTTTCTTTTCCAGATCAAACACAAAATGATGCTTCAATAAAAGTGCGTGAATTAGTCATCTCAAGTACTTCATGTTCAGGAAAATAACTACCTATCTTTAATGTGTATAAGTCACTAAAACTACTAAACAGAACAAATGTGCTTTGAAAATTAGTCTACATAATAAGAAATATTTCACCCAGAGTTAGAGTGGTGTTTATAGTCAGAAAACATTTGGTACCTGTCCCTGCATTTGATTTTCATTTACAAGGTCATTTATTACTTTACACACCAAAAATAATTAAATGTTATTCCACTTTGTGAAGAACATCAATATTTGAAGAACAAACATTTTTAGATAATAACATAGCCAGTTAAAACTGCCATGGGTTCCTTGAAAGGTTAAACTGGTTAAAGGTTAAAAGACTGCACTGTGCCTTTCAGAAGTCTAGCTTCACACCTATTATATGGTCAACGCTTTAGAGAAAATACAAGTGACATCCATGTAGACTTAAATAAAATAATACCTATATTAAGCCCAACTACATAAAATGGACCAATTAAGCAATTTAAAACCCCTTCAAGATTTTCTTAGGTTTCTTTGGAAAAGGCATTCATGACGGAGGGGATGGAAGTTAATGGTTAAAATTAGGATGAATCTTTTAAACAGGCATATGTTTAGTTTTATTCACATGCATTTTCTTCTCAGTTCAACATCTGAAAAATGAAGACTTCTACCTATGCGTCTGCTGGAACAGAGACTAAGGTCTCTGGGATTCACTTGTGTTAGTGGGGGAGTCAGTCAGACCCAATGTTTCTCTTTTTTCCCCTCTGTTCAATAAAGTTAGTAATGTCATTAATGCTTTGAGAGGTTTCAGTCATTAAAATCTGTGATATGCTCTGAGAGCTACAAACAGAAAGAGAAGTAGCAGCACAAAAATCTATGCGCTCACTGGCTAAGCTCACTGTGCCAATGCTCAGCAAAACGCCTTTTATCTTGAAGCTTTATAGGAGATCTCACATCTCTGCAAACATATTCTTCACTGATGCCTCCTTTCAGCCAGGTGAGAAAGACCATACTGTCAAAGTACCATATCACTTCAATTACACAAGGCCAAGCAGGAGCAGTTTTGAAAGTACTTCAAGTGTTTACAGAGCACAGAAAGAAGAAACGGGTTTTCTTTCTTTCAGGTTGGACTTTGGTGCTCTTTAGATCTCAGAAAGGACTAGTCAGCATTCCTTGCTTCTCACTTGCATCCCTGGCACTTACTCACCATGTGATCTGGCTGAATTAATGATTTGTCCAGCCGTTGACTTTCCATACTAATTAGGAAAAGTACACTCTCTGGCTGGATGTTCTGATGTTACTTACGGTTTGTCAGTACTTCATTATTCTTAGATGATGGGTTCTATAAGTAGCATCAAGCAAGTATTAGTAATATTAACACTGTATTTATAACCTCATTTTGGTTATGTCTGCAATAGATCACTCCTCCCAACGTAAGAGCATGCCAGGTAAGAATTACATTAAGCTTTGATACAACATTTAGTTTGTGAAGTGCAAATGACTTACAGAGAAAGAGCCTAATGACAATGTCACCTTACTGTACAAGCTGTACCAGGGATATTACTATTATATAGAGGGCACAGTACAAGCTCTTTCCTTATCCTCATATATTTTATTAATTTCTTTCATGCTTCTGGTTCAGATAAAGAGGGGTTACTTGAAATACCATGTAGATACAGTATAATATGGTCAGAAATGCTACAATGCATTCATATTTCATTGACACTGCTTCTAATCACAGCTAAGCACTTGCACTCCAGAAGAGGTACAGAGTCAGACAATGTCTTTGACATACACAGATTCTTCTCTGTCTTTCCTTTCAGTACATTTTTATCTAGCCTAAGGAAGTCGACTGCTTATCTCCATAATGCATTTTCATCTTCTGCACTGTAAGACTAAGCTTTTCTTAGCTCAACTATAAATGAATACATGTACTTTTTTTATTGGGTACTAATTTGAATCTGGTCACTGACTATCAAAACTCTATTCTTTTGAGTCACTGAAGTCATTTAAGCTAATCTTGTGCAATAAAAAGGTAAGAATCCAATTTTCTCATATACTATGCATTTTACACAAGAATATATTTATAAAAATACTGTCTGTAGAATAAAACTATCAATACAGACACACTTCCACTGCTGCTTATTCTGAAAAGAGAATCACTTTACTTCCTATTCAGAGTGAGTAAATAAAAAATGAGAAACAGTATTTCCAAAATCAGATCCATATTACAAAACAGAATCTGGTAACCATGAACACTTAGTGAGGACCACCTGGGAATAATCTAATTATGAATAATTGTTTCAGGAGGAAAAAAAGTTGCACTTTTTGGCCCAGGCTATTCGAAATGAAAAATCCATGCTATAGTGAACTGACAAATTCTGATGCTGATTCTTAATTAGACTAAAGGTTTCTTTAGTCTTATTAGCATGAAGATCGTATTTACAGATACTTAAAAGTTTTACATTGCTAGACTGGGATTGGAGAACCTGAGTGTAAATCCAGTGCTGCTATGCTTTCTACTGCATGCATTGCAGACACTTCAGTGGTCACTTCCCACATCAGTAAGGCACACAGTGGCAAACACACAGCATGATGTTCATGGCAACAAATAATAAAACTTTGTTTACAAGCAAAGCATCATCACTGTTACATTTAAATACTGTCTT